CTCTCTCTCTCTCTCGCTCTATGTCTGTCTCTCTCTCTCTCTCTCTCTCTCTCTCTCTCTCTCTCTCTCTCTTTCTCTCTCAGTCTTTATCTACAAGCATAATTCTATTGCGATTGAAGACATTAGATCGACCGTTCCCAGGATTCGGGAGAAACGTGCGAAGATGGAACGGCTGGCTGATGCCAGAGCCTCTGCAGGCAGTGTTTTTTTCGGTTTCAATTCAGACCAATCCGTTCAATCAAGTGCTACATTGCATAAAGTTTGCATCGTCCAGGATAGCTGTCAGGTATTTACTGCGCCGCTTGAATCCTGAAGAGCCAAGTCTCTGTTTGGAGGCCATCCAGATGCCAAGTCCAGCGACGAGTTCGTAACGCCGCCACCGAAGGCAAGCGTCCTGCCGGATGAAGCAGACACACAGTTGTATGACGTCATGCAGGAGCCTTTGGCTCCTTCCACCCCAGACTTCAAGAAACCCGCCAGAGTGCCGAGCACCACATCCGTGGACACGAAACGCTGGGTCTATCAGCATCCGGGTGTGCCGAAACCGCAGCCCCGGGCACTGCTTCAAGAACCGCTACCGGTACCGGATCAGACTGACGACAACGTGAAGGCGACGACAGATGATCAAGGGCAGGAAGCAGAGCCGATGGACTGCGACGCAGAGCAGATGAACGAGGACGCAGCGCAGATGGACGAGGACGCAAAGCAGATGGACGAGGATGCTGCGCAGATGGACGAGGATGCCACAGCGGGTCCTCCCTCCAAGGCCTGCAGAGTCTATCACAAATTATGCCATGCACCTGCTATGGTTCTGCTGCTTTATCCCTCTGCTGTATTCGGAGTGATGTTGGCCATGCTAGTACCCTAGGTAAAATTAAGAGCCTCTGCCAATATCAACATCCCCAAAATCCTGCTACAATTTTAGTACGCTGTAATTTCTTTAGTGCTAGCTGCCTATCATCTACACCGAACAGGTTTTCGGCAGACGAGACCAGCTTGGACTCAGAACGAGCATCAAGGCCAAGGCCAAGAGCAAGAAAGCCGCCGCCACGGAGGATGCCGAGGAGGATGCGGTCTCTGCGAAGCACGGAGCCAAGAAGCTTAAGCGCAAGGTCTCCAAAAGCCGGCTTGGTCGTCTCAGGAAGTTGCGCAGATCACGCAGCTCACTGGAAGGCGACAAACCCCGCGAGGAGGCGGACGACAAGGAGCCCGAGCACGAAGCCGAGAACGAGGGCGAGGACGATCGGGACGAGTGGAACCAGGAGCCCGCGGAGCCAAAGGCCCATCGCAAGCCGAAGGCCAAAGCCACGCCGAAAGGCAAATCCGCGCCCAAGGCCAAAGCCACGCCGAAAGGCAAATCCGCACCCAAAGCCAAAGCCACGCCGAAGAGCAAATCCGCAGCCAAAGCCAAAGCCACGCCAGCCAAGTCTTCCTCCTCGAAGCCAGCGGAGGGTGACGAGGATGCGCTGACGAAGTCCCGAGGGGGTCGACCCAAGGGAGCCAAGAATAAGGCAAAGGAGCCTGCCAAGGCTGACAACAAGCAGAAGAAGAAGCGGGCTCCCAGGGTTAACCCGAGCATCCGGCTCAACAGCAAGACCGCCGATGACACGCCCCACGACCCTCTTGATCTTAAGTATATGTTGGAGTTTTGGAGCGACTTCGAGGACCCCAATGCCGACATCGACATCTTGAAAAAAGAGGTCAGGGCATGGAAGCCAGTCTTCACCTACGTGTCGCCGGACGTCTATTGGACCCGCAAAGAGTCTGCGCTGACTTTCCACTACGAGACCGAAGATGGGGAGGCTTGCAAGAACAACGTGGGCCACTTCCACTTCAGCAACAACAAGTGCGGGCTTTTGGTGGCCATTGCCTGCACTTACTTGCTGGCTGCTTGTCATTGACGAGAGTACTTTTACTGTACACTACGATATTTGTTACGGCCTCGGCCTTCGATCTAAGCCCAATTAATGTCTGTCTGTCTATCTATCTATCTATCTATCTATCTATGTACCTATCTATCTATCTATCTATCTAGCTGTCTGTC